TTCATCTATTATTCACCGTTAATGTTTGGATAAAGAAATCCTTAAAGGACGAATATCCAAAATATTATCGGAAATAATTTGTTATTATTCACTGTTAATATTTGGATAAAGAAACCCGGAGTGGTAAATATCCAAGATAATTTTCTAGGAATAATAAATCCGCACACATCCTTGAAAGAAGCCTTGATTATAATCGAGGACATTTCAATTTTTTTTCTCCACGGTTTACGAGCCGTGAGAGTACAAAACACTAAGGCAAAAATAGGCGTTTAAAGCACCCTAGATTTCTAAATTTTTGTCCTTCCTCGCGATTTACGAGTCGCAAACTCTTGAAATACCAAGGGAAAAATGAGCTTGTAAAGCGCATTGAATCTCCTTGGATTTCTTTCTTAATAAATTTAGTTAGAATCAAACCGAGAAAAACTGATAGGATTTGAAAACACCAATACCATAGCAATTATAAGACAAACACCAAGCAGCTTACCTTAGGTAGGGCGTACTAGGGGTGTTAACACCTTCCCTTTACGCAACCAGTCCCTTTCCTTAGAATCTCTGAAAGACCAGTTAGGTTTCCTAGTGACCATAATACTAGGTAGCGACTCCCTTTTACATAAAAATAAAACTAAGAGACCTCGAAATCAATCAACGATCGTCGCGACACCGCGCTCCGCTCACGAGGGTGCGATAGGATGGCGACTCCATTGGGGACCCTTGGACTAAGCTTGATATTTGTCTTTTATTATGCTATGTGTTGTTTTTTTTTACTATGAATGATATTTTGTTTAAAAGCTTTAGCATGCATCTTAACATTCTGTCATACATGGTATAGTTATGCATGATCACTTTATTATTATTTTTTCTTTTGGGAACACACAGTAAACTTTAAGTTAAGTGGGGGACTAGCAGCTCGCCTTATGACTTGAGTCAAGGTTTAAGTTTGTGTAAACTCCAACTCTTTGCTGAGTGTTTAGACTGATAGTGATTGGTACATGTGCCATCCCACTATCTGCT